TCCTTAATCCCAGAATCACACATCCACTCCAACCACCTTCAAAACTTCCCACCTATGACCACATGAGGCTTTAGGAGGACATCTAGGCAAGCCACAACACCCTCCAAATTCATGTGTTGATGATATTTAGAGGTGGGGCATTTGAGAGGTGATTAAGTCATGAGGGTGGGTTTCCTCATGAATGGGATTAGCACTGTTATAAAAGAGAACCTAGAGAGCTCTTGCCTCTTCCACCATGTGAGGACTCAGCAAAAATATGGCCATCTTTGAATCAAAAGTAGACCTTCGGCAGACAGGGGGCAATGCCGGCATCACTCCCATGGTTCAACAGGGCTCTGCCCATGCTGTTGTGATTCTCTGCAGAGGAAGGGGTCAGACACCCACAGGTCCATTGGGTAATCCCCTTCACATGGCTCTACTGGGATCCTGCCCTCTGGTTCTACAGTAAGAGGGGAAATGCTCATGATCTCTGAATCAGGCTTGAGGTCCTTCTTTTGTCTGGAAGAATAGTGTACTTTTCCGGCTACCTAGTTTTATATTTTGGTCCTATATGGTTTAACAATCTTTTTTCATTTTTTCCTTTTTTTAATCTGTTTTCTTTATTTTCAGCTCACAGTGTTTCTGTTGGTGTAATCCCAACTGTATTCTTGGGTTTTGTTGATGTGGTTAAGACCATAATTCACATTCATACCAATTTCTCTTCTGAATGTTTGATCCATCATATCTATATGGTTCTCTTTGAAACATTTCTGATTTTTTATATTTTGGACAGGCTGAGAATTTCCAAATCCTTAAAACATGGTTCCTTTTTGCTTATAATTTCATATTCAATTCATTTCTCGGCTCTCACATCTTACTATATATAGTCAAAATAAACCAAGCTGCTCCTTCAACATTTTGCTTAGAAATCTCCTCAGCTCAATAACCAGTTTCATTGCTTGAACATGCTAAACTTCCAAGAAACACTAAAACACACAGTTCATCCAAGATTTTCTCATATTCAACATGAATTGCCTTTTCTCCAATTCAGAATAGTATCTTCCTCATTTTCATCAGAATGGTTAGTAAGTATTTACATTTTACCAACATTGTGTTCATCATTCCGTCTGGAAGATAAGTGTTTTTTTTCTATAGCTCTCTTCTTTTCTTTCTCAGCTGCCGCCAGAGTTGCCTTTGCAAGTCATCCATAATAACTTACATTTTTCTAGCATACACATCAAAGTTCTTCCAGGCTTTCTAACCGTTATTTAGTTCTTAATATTCTCCCACATTTTTTGATACTTGTTTCAACAGCACTATTATGTCTTGTGTCTAGTTGTCCCCTCAAAGCCACATGTGGTCATAGGTGGGGCTTTTCAGAGGTGGACGGATCTAGAGTATGTGATGCTGAGATCAAAGGTGTGTGATTACTAAATTAGTCCACTGAATTGTTTAGCATAGTTCTGGGTAGGATTAAGGGTGTTCCATCCTGGGTGTGAGTGCAGGCAGCCTGGATGGAAGATAAGGGACAGAAAGAGGGCTGCTGTTGGAATTAAGTTTTCAACACATGAATTTGAGGGGAACACATTCACTTCATAACAAACTTTAAAAGTTACTATTTTATTTTTAAAATCAAAATTGCATAGATGAATTAACAATG